AGAGATGAGAAGAATATAACAGAGCACAGCAAAGTAAGGGGGTTGCAGACTGCCAGAAATAGTGCAAATTGAGTCCACTTTTAGAGTTAGGGTTAGGTTAGGGAATCATGGGAACTGTATTTTATTGTAGCACCAGAGCTCTCTGACAGAGAAGGCTTAATGTTTCAGGGGGGAAAAAACAATTCCCATGGCTCCCTAGCACTAACCCTAACCCTAAAAGTGGACTCAATTTGCACCATTTCTGGCAGTCTGCAACCCTCCTAAGTCATGCTTTATAGCAGTGAATATTTGTTGATGTGTGCCTTCAAATCATTTCTGACTTATGACAACCCTAATGGGAACCTATCATGGGATTTTCTGGGGTTGAGGGTGTGTGATCCACCCAAGGTCACCCAGTGGGTTTAAACAGCTAAGCAGGGACGACTGTACCATGCTGGCTCACATTAGAATTTTCTCCCTTGCCTATACTCAGGAAAGGGGGTTTGACCCCTTCAAATAAGAATTAAAAACTTATTAAAGCATTGTACATGTTTGAGGAATATTTCCCATACACACACACTTTGTATGTTTCAGGACTCACTTCTGATGCATATACAGTTGTGTGTGAAAATCTTTCTTGGTTTTGGCACATTTGCTGGCATCATAGAGGTGAAAATTTACTGAAGGACTTTCAAGTGGACTCAACAGACATTATTAACAGGTCAGATCATTAGAGTATTGGCATTTACCTCCTAGTCACTGTCTTTTAATTTACAAAACTATTTTGTATTTTCTACTTTTTCTTTATGTGGAAAATACTAAATTTTAAATCAATTTCCTTTTGTGGAAGTTTTATAACTTTTCTTGTTGTTTGTTGTTGTGTGTCTTCAAGTCCTTTTTGGTTTATGGCAACCCTATAGTGATGCTGTCCTGTGGTTTTCTGGGGCTGAGATGTGTAACTCATCCAAGGTCATCCAGTGGGTTGCCATGGCTGAGTGAGGAACTGAACCCTGATCTCCAGTCATAGTACAAGACTCAAACCACAACACCATGCTGGCTTGCCTTCACAAGATGCTTTCTGATTAAACTGCATTCATTGAAGGTTATTTTTTGTCATTACATATGAATGATCCCCCCTTCCAGAAGCCAGTTTTGTAGTGACTGATGTAAAGAAGGACTTGAAGTTGGGGAGTTACTAAAGTCCAAGTCTTCTATGGGATCTTTTATCCTATGTTTATGGAGGTGGATAGGAAATAGACTGATAGAGAAAATGCTTTCCAATGAACTGTAATTTATTTGGGGGATTCAAACATACAAAGACACTCTATCATACACTCATACACACAAGAACTCTGGAATAAAGTAATTAGCTTGGAGAGGAAACACAAGGCTTTCTAATGGTGATAACAATGGTGAAGGAGGCTGCTCCAATGATGAATGAAGATGGATAGACTCAACCATTATGAAAAGAAAAAGGGCAATAGAAAGAGCCAGGACCCAAGTCATAAGTCACAATGGCACAGTGTCATCATGAAATTTTACCAGACCCAATGTGCCTGAGATTTTGGGGACCTTTTATATCCTTAAACCTAGCCTGAGGTGAAGAGTTGCTATTGTATATCAAAGGATTCAGATTACTACTCTTTGAAGTAAACAATTTCCAAGGAGAGGAGATGGGATGTTAATGTTATCTCATCTTCAGCCAGACACATCCTGGCTGGTACTCATGAATCTTCTAAGTGTGAATGTCCTGCATCGCAGCTCCTAGGCTTGGCCCTTTTGATTTGCAAATTATTGTAAGAGCAGATATGACCTTTCAGGTGACTACATGATATGCTCGCCTTGGATTAGTGGTGAGAGTCTAGGGCTATGGCAGGGACCCAAAGGGGTCTTTATATTAAATCAGTCATTGTAACACTGATGACCAAGCCCTTCTTCCCCCAATATTTGTCTTGGCTCCCCCCAGTGAAAGTCATCATTATATCCTTGCCTATACTAATGCTATGGATGCATATTTATTTATCTATTTATTTTTATTTAAGGAATTTATATTCCATCTTTCTCTCAAAATGTGATTCAAGGTGGCCTTGCATAGATGGAAGGAGCCTGTTTGTTTTCTCTACTGCCCTTGAATAGATCCACTCATGTTTCACCTCCAACTCCACAGGGACCTTTCTTATTCCCATACTATATCCAGGGCATACTGTGCAGTTCTCTTACACTCCTCAGAACACATGACATACCCTAGGCAGTGTGGTAGAAGCTTCAGACTGTAGACAAAAGCTGAAAAACAATAATTTGGTTGGGATCTTTAGAAGATGTCTTATGGATTGAAGATGTATTATGAATGGCATTCAGGGATTGCTGACCAGCTTATGGATGACAATATGAAGTCCTAACAACCCCAGTAACATATCTAATGGTGAAAAATGTTGAGAGTTGAAATTCAACAACATTTGGAGAGTTCCATGATTGCCATCCGTAAGTCATCTTTCAATGCCCCAGCTAAACTACTGTTTTTCAGCCTGTCTGCAGAAATTACTTCTTGGCCTACAATTCCCAAAATGTATCAGATAGAATAGTCATTGCACATGCTGCTTCTGGAATTCTTGGTAACATTTCCAGACTTTGGCCCAATCAGACTATTTGTTCAACTAGCTGTTTCTTCCTGGTCATCATACAGATGTCCCACTAAGCCAGTAGCTCACATTCATTTTAGCTGTCTAAAGAGGTGTTCTTAAAAGCAGGAAGAATGCATTAACCTTGTCTTGACAGTGAACACTTATCAGAATCATATGCCTAAATAATTTATAAAATATAATACCAGAACAGAATTGTTTCCCTTTGTAGAGGATCATAATAAATTGGATTTTTTATATTAATGTAAATGAAATATTCTGCTTGATCAGGAAGAAGGTGGAGATGATTTTGCTCATTTTGAGGCTATTTTACAACATCTTGCTGTGTTTTACATTACATTAGAAAAAGTATTAGACATTTCCAGCTGGTTCTCACTTGGGCTTCGGTCTTAACATGCCTGCTCTCTTTTTTCTTCATTTGCTATCCACAATTATCAATGGCAGTCAGAATTAGCTCTAGGAGGCTTTAGTTAGCCCCCACCCCAAAAGACAGAAGAATTGCAATACAGGAAAAAAAGGGGAAGAATAGTTTCATACTGAAAGAATAGCTCACTATTTGGTTGAATGGAAGTGCTTGCATGTAAAATGGTCCAGCTCCATTGACCTCAACAAGGCAAAGTGGCCAAAATTCATGTCTGTTTGCTTCAGTGGGTTACAGAAAGTATGAACTTTTATTTTTGAGCTTTGGATAGATTCATGTGACCAAGCTGTATTATTTTAGAGCTTGGAAAATAACATTTGATACTATAAATCCTAGGCCAGCATGAATTCTGGAGAATGTAGTAACTAGTGACCATACTACTTCTACTTATTTATGGAATTATGAGAGTTTAAAAACAAACAAACAAACAAAAAAAACCTACACATATTTTTCTAAACTCTGTCACCATTAAACATCTCCCCCATTCATCTAAGGTCAGCTCTTCACACATTTGAATTGCTCATTTTATATTCAGATCAAAAGCCATACAGATGACTAATGCAGATGCCCAATGGCAAGAAGAAAAAGAAATATAAGAAAAGATGAATATCTCTATTTCTGGACTGTTTCATTTTCATACCCCCTCCCTCCCTCCCCCCCACAATGATATAATTATATTCTCCTCCATTTCTATATTTGTGTGTGAATTTAAAAATGCATACAGAAAGCTCTCAAACAATGTTTTTGAACACATATTTAACATATATTTTTACTCAAACTATACATTTTGCACACTCCATACTTTGTATTTTGATTCATTTAAACTCCAAACAACATTTGGAGTGAAAAAGCTGTTTGATAGCTAAATTCCAATCTGCACATTTATCCAAATATCTGTACATTTGTCCTTTTCATACAGAAATGTTCACATATTGCATTCCTCAACCATTTTTGGAGAGATGGGAATGAGATTCTGCATAATATTTTGTTCTAAATATGGAGATCGGAGAACATGTCAACATTTGTTCTTGATGAGAAATGTTTTAATTTAAGGGGTCATTCACATTGTATTTTAGCACAACAATGTGAGCCATCTCACTCGTGCAGTCTGGGATTGTTATTCACACCATGGAACCACATCAATGCACATCAATGCTAATTGATGCACATCTCTGAGAATTTGGTTGTTCATATGTGCAAGCATTCAAATAAAGATGGAGCCAACAATGTGAATGCATTTTTATTTTTTTATTTATTTTTTTTTTTTTTTTGTATGCAGCGTTTTATTGCAGGTCTATTCAGGTCTATTTGCATCTGTTATTCACCCTGCTGATGATATGGATCTTTTTAAAATAAAGTTGGGGGGGGGGGGGAATATCGATTATCCTGGATTAAGTGGGGTTTTTGGCAGCCCTCCCCCTCAACTTAATTGGATGCATTCAGGATGCTTGTGAACAATGAAGATTTAACCTGGATTCATCCTGGATTACTTTCACAATGTGAATAACCCCTAAAATATCCAGTCTTAAACCATAGAGGAGGAATGGGAAACATTTAGCATGCAGGTCTGATATAACCTGTAAGATTTTCCTATCCAGCCTTAGCCATTTTTATTTTGTTTTGTTTCTGCTCTCTCTGACCAGTGAACAGAGATAATTTCCCCAGATCTTTGCTTGGCTGGTGATGTCCTTGTCATGCAACAGTTATGATGGGTTATGATACAAGCCTGCTTTTCAACCTCTTGGCTAATGAGTGGCATTCCACTCCCATTCCCTTGGTATAGCTTAGGTTTATCTTGTTGCCACTTGGGACTAAATAGGACATTTTTTTGTCCTGATTGGCCTTGGACACAGGGTTGTTGAGGGGTTTTTTGCCTACTCCATTTGCCTACAGCGCAGGACTTATGTTGTTGTTGTTGCTTTGCATTTCTATTGTCAAAACTGACAGGGTGTGGATACTTTTGTTGTGTAGTGTAGTGGTTTGAGTGTTGGACTATGATTATGGAGACCAAGGTTCGATTCCCAGCTCAGCCATGAAGCCCACTAGGTGACCTTGGGCAAGTCACATGCTCTCAACCTCAGGGGAAGACAATGGAAAACCTTTGAATGAATCTTGCCAAGAAAACCTTTCCTTAGTTTTGCCTTAGGGTCACCATAAGTCAGAAATGATTTGAAGGCACACAACAAATTATTTGAAGGCTGCCAAAAGAACCCACTTAACCCAGGATAATCAATCCCTAGTATTTTCCCAAGTTTTTCTAAAAGATTTACATTGTCAGCTGTGTGAATAACCAAGGTGAATAGATCCAGGATAAAACACTGCATGACTTGAACATGTTTCAAATACATCATCAACTATTTTGAATCAACAAATCCATCTTTTCAAGTTCTGGCACATGTGAGCAATAGAGGTCGCATAGATACACAGAGCTGTGGTTCCATTGTGTGAACAATAAAACTGGATTGCATGAGTGAGATTATTTGCATCGTCATTTAATAACACCTTTGAAAAAAACCCAAGATCTATTATCCCAGCTTTTGTGGGATTCTGACTTAATTGGATACATTCAAAATGCATGTGAAGAACACAGATTCAACCCACATTCTACCAGGATTAATTACACTGTCTGAATAAAGACACCCCCTGATGAGTCGGGAGGGGTTTCATATTGTGCTGCCTAAATAAGGATGGGAGACACCTGGTTGGTCAAGGCATGTGGGAGAATAAGTACACCTGTGCACCTTACCCAATAAGTTTGGCCTAAAACTATGTCTCGCAAAGTTTTGGGTTCTGTGAGAATTGGGGCAAGAGTTTGTTATTCATAGCTCTGTGCTGCCACGTGCAGGCAGCCATTTTAGAGTTGAGACGGAGTGAGTAACATCGCTCCGCTCTTTACTTTTGGCTTGCTTGGCTTCGGCCTTCCGCATTTTTTGGGCTTTTGTTGTTTCAGCTATTGCCTAATTTATTTGTGCTATTTTATCTTGCTACTCCGGGGCTCAGGTATTTCCTGGAGCATCCCAAGGGGAGGAGCGAGAGAGGCCTTCAGACTGGTCTTCTGGACCTGTTGAACCTCCGCATCCCCAATTCTTGGGGGTCTACACCCAAGGAGGGCTCTGCAGGAGATGTCTTAACCAAGTGCATGGACTGGGTAACGTTGCAGGCCCAGAGTTGCCCCGGTCACTCGATCTGGTAAGGTTGGGATCCACCGCTGGTCCGGGAGGGTTGGCTGTACTTCTCCCCAGTGGTGAGTATGTGCCAGTGTGAAGCTCTGAAACAAATATCATGTGCTGTGTGACTTCTTGCTTCTTGAGATAAGCAAAAAGGAATATGCACACTTTGTGAAAAGCAGGGGAAGGGGAAAGCCCTAAGAGATAAGAGGGGCTCTCTTTGAGACAAACCCCTTTGACTCACAGAATCACCTGTTCTCTCATTCTTTCATTTTCACAGGCACACACATTCACAATTCTAATTTCCCTAAAACAGGATCAATATTGCAAAGAAGCATTATTATTTTTTAAAACAATGTATATAATAATTTAAGTCACCAAAGTACAAGGGGGGAAAAACAAATCACACTAAAACATAAGAGAAACAAATCAGGAACTCAGAAGAGTTTATCACATGTGGGAAATTGGGAGTTTAAACAATGATTAAGCTGTGAAAATTATGCAATTGACATTGAAACATGTTTAAAATGACATTAACGGAAGTGCCATTACCCCATAAAGAACCAGGGAATAACCAGGCAAAAAACAGCAAAAAGTCATTCTCGGGAAAATTCTGTGATGAGTTATTGTTGTTTCTTGCCTGGTTCTTCATGGGATAATGACACTTTAATCACCTTTTGTTTCAACATCATGTGAAAACCATTAGCACAAGTGCACACAGGTCTGGGTCAATCACAGATTCTGCATGGAATAACAGTGCTTTGCACACTGATGTCATGTGAAAACCATTCATGCAATTGCAGTTTAATCATGGGATAATCATCATTTATACATCCAATTTCCTCTCGTGTTATAAGCTCTGGAGAGAATTTAAAGGCAAAACATTCTAACCTATAAGACACTAACTAAACCTGCAAGATTTATTCTGTGAGCCAGTCTTTCCAGAGATTGTAATGTACCATAATTGGAGGGTAGGAAAAATCATAAGTATCATTACTATTATTGCAGTTGTTAATAAAAGGATACTAGGTTTTATAAAAAGGAATTGTCTGTCTGAGCTTTCCCTACTCTCCAATTTGGAGGGAAGGCTTTCTCTCAGGCTGAATCTTCACTGCAGAAATAATCCAGTTTGAGATTTCTTTAACTACCCTGGCTCAGTGCTAAGGAATCCTGGGAACTGTATTTTATTGCAGCCCCAGAACTCTCTGACAGAGAAGACTGAGGGTTGATGTAGACCAGCCATTTGGGGCGGCAGAGAGCCGCCCTGGGAAGTGGTGGATTGGGGCTGCAGAAACCCCATGCCATGGCCCTGATCCTCCCTTTTGCCACCTTGAAAAGACACTGTCTTCACACAGAGAGTGCCTAAAGATAGTAATGTTTTTGATCCATCTTCAGCCAAATGAAAAACAGCTACCTCATTCTCACAAGATGGAGTAAGTGAAAAAGACCCCAAAATTCCACTCAGGGGGGAAACAAATGGGCAACACAGGGCCGCCCCAGGAAGCTGTGGATCGGGGCTGAGGTATCCACACTGCCCCAATGCGCCATGTCCCAGGAGTGCTAAAATAGCGCTCCTTCTGCAAGACGCCAAAGGTGCGCCACAAAAGGCCTCCAGTGCACCTGCGGCACCTCTTCCACTGCAGTGTGTGCGGATGCTGCAGTGGAAATGTGTCGTTGGAGTGCCAGCCATGCAGAGCGATGGGGGCTCCGACAACATATTCGGGATGGGGTTGGGGCACCCAGCGTGAGGCTGCCTCTCCCCTTCCTGGCCTCGAAAACAGCACTTTGCGCCATCTGCTTAGGCCCTCAGTTACCATAAAGGAGAACTAATGGAACTTACACTGCAAGTAGGAAGGCATTCCATTACTTGAAAAAGGGGTGCAGTTTGGACAGTCTCATCTTAAATTTGTGAGCCATACCCAGAGCAATATTGACACTTGATGTTGACACTCCCTCTTGGCAACTTTATTCTGACCAGGCTGACCAGATGTCTTCACCACAAAGGGGAACAAGGCACCATAAAATGTAGGACATTTAAGAAAAATGGAGACCATGTCCAACTAAAAACTGAAAATACCCATATAATATAAAATCATGTTTCTTAGTCATGATCAAAATGGAGGACATTTTGGAATTCACCCTGGACAAAAGGTTGAAATGTAGGACAGATCTTGGAAAAGGAGAGTGCCTGATCACCCTGTTCCTTGTTAAAGAGAGAGAAGGGGAAATATGAAGGGGTCAATGTTTTACCCCTTGGGATAGTTTGGTTAGGCAAGGAAGGAGGGCAGTGAAACAGTGGAAAGGTTGAGCCTTCCTTTCAGTGAGACCCTCATTTGAATATGTATGCCATGTTCTCCCTCTTGTCCATCTCTATAGTCCTGCATCTCACCAAGTAGCATTCTTCCATCCACAAATAATGATCTGTAATATGGAGACAATAATAATATTAGCAGATCTCACATGGCTGTCCCTGATGATCTGATTGAAATAATGTATATGAGGAGTTGGAATAGTTTAAATAAGTATTATTGCATTGCCTTGATTTTGCAAAGCAGCCAATACCTACTTCCAGATCACTTCAGTCTTCTTTGGGAAAAATTTCTTTGAGCCCTCTTTCTATACTCATTGATGTTTAAAAAAATGCCTCCTGATTTAAGAAAGTTAAATCATTTCCCACATATACCATTTCTGCAAGATCAAAATCCCTCTAGTAAGCCTAAATCATTGTAGGAACAATTTCAGAATAAAATATAATGTCAATTTTGATCCCACCTTTTTCTCGTTGCCACCACCTAATACTGGAATGCATCCCCAAAATACTTATTAAAAAGGCAAACCTGAATTTGACCCCAGTGCAGAAAGAGGTATCCAAGTATGGTATTCAGAACTGAGTATCAGACTAGCACTCTGGGAGAGCCAGGTTCATATCCCAACTTGGCCATGAAAATCCACTGGATGGATCTGAACAAATCATACCCTCTCACCCTAAGAGGAAGGCAAACCCCCTCTTAAGAAATCTTGCTAAGAAAACCCAGTAATGGCTTTGCCTTAGTGTTGGCATAAATCATAAACTTCTTGAAGGAACCACCACAACAAGTAGAAACAAGTCCCCCACTCATAGCTTCAGATATTTCTTACACCAATGGAGTTGGAAAGTTTTCCCTGAAGGTATTAAAAACAAATTTAATATGGAACATTTTCAGAGGTTTTCAGATAAATCTGATACTGGTATGGGAAAAAAAGTAAATCAAACTTTTAGTTTCAACTAGAGTAGATCCAGTAAATTAATATAACATACTTAAGTGTTGACTGACAGCTTCCATTGTTTTAGTGGGCCACTAACCATTAGATTTGGGCTTTTGTGTCACTTTGCAAACAAAATTGGACTGATCTGAGGTTGTTGATACGTATTACAGTTTAGTGTTCACCTACTGACTGATACTCTTTCTTTTGATCTTACCAGGTGGCTGGGAAATACTAACACAGTCTGCATGTTATTAATAACCACTTTGGCCCAACTTCTGTGTCTGCCCTTGGGGATATTATACACAACTCCTGCTGCAGATCAATGGGCTGTATATGAATATCAGAATGTAGCCCAAGGAGATAAACAGCATGCATTCATGTTAACACTTTCCCAGCATTATAAAAGATCAAAGACAGACATTTGCTTTTTGCATTAGATTTATCTGATTTTTTTTTAAAAAAACTATATATATGCAAGACCTACTCTCAAATGAACAGTGTTTGATTACCATGCAGTGGTGGCTGAAAAATACTACATTGAAAATGCACAGAAATTATTGCAAGGGAAGAAGAAGAAAAGCAGAATCTTAACTATGACATATTGCTCAATGAGACCCTAA